TACATGTAACACGTAGCAAAAGCATTTTTGTACTTTAAAACGTCAATTAGGAAGAGCATTGAAACGTTTCACTGCATCTTTATATGGGCCACAGAATACTCATGTTAACACAAGCGCCGATTATATTGAAGCAAAATTTCGGCCCTCGACATTTACTTCCTTTTGAGAAATGAAGCCTCATTACTTTCTAATTCACTGTTTGTACCTTCTATTCATAACCTTCCGCAATGGCCTCTAACTCTGAGATTACTGAACTTCTTGATCAATAACAGTATAGGATAAAAAAGCTTTTTTTCTGAGTTCCAGAAATTTTGCTCGCTCGCACATAGTGCTGGTCCTAACAGAGATGCTCAAGCGAGTGAAACTTTAGAATTTCTTGGTCACTTATCAAATTCCCATTTAATTCTAGTGTTGAGAAAGGGAATTCAATAAATGTATTATTCACAAGAAAAAACAATTTTTACAATCAAAAGCAGTGAAAAATATTTAAACAACATGGAAAGACTTCGCTGTAATAAAAGCAGACAGATATACACGATCTGGAAATTGATAGTGTATGAAATGATAATATGAGAGAAATTAAATTGAGTAAAATAATAAGTAAAACATAAGAACTAAAATCACAGAATCTAAGAACTGAAGATGTATTTAAAGAAAAAAATAAATGCTTTTATGCATTTTTGGCCTGGAGCAATTACCCTTTTACCCGAATATAAGACCGCTTTCACCACGTCCGCTTCGCTTACATCAAATTCTTCCTCCTTTCTACATCTACTCAAGATATTACTATATTTACTAATAGCCTCGTTAATCCATTTTCATGTGGTTTACTTACCTTCTTGTCTTTCAACATCTGCCATCGTTTTCCAACCAATCTTCCCTAAGTGAGGCATTTGGATTTCCCTACTCATCAGATCTATCAGAAAAGGTATTTTAAGGATGGTTTAAAAAAAGAACTAGGAGCTCATCTATTTCAAAATTGCTTGAAATGCGGCTATGGTTATATGTGGCCTTTTAACGATTTACACGCTTCATCATGCTAATAAAACTGATTATATTCTCATTGGCGACTTTACACGTTGCTGCCTTGTCACGCGCGGATGACGCGCAACCTTATTTTGAGTGGTCTTATACTCGGGTGAACAGGATATATGGCATTTTGAACGGTCTTCAGTCCAAAACGTTGATTTCCTCGCCTTCCATCTCATCGTCGTCGTTATCAAGAAAAGCATGAGCATGTTCACAATCAACAGGCAAATCATCTTGGTCAGAAGATCCATCAGAAGAATTATTTATCTGAATTTTATCCTGATAAATTCCTGAATACAAGCGGTGTAGGTAGTTCCTCAAATACGTAAAGCTAAGGTCGCGAAATTGGCGGCGGAGCGACTGCTGACGTTGATTCGTGGCTCATATAAATGGTTGTCCATTTATCGTAACTCATAAACGTCGACGGCGCTGCCGCAATGTTCGCTATTGGCATGTTCGAAGAAGAATGTAGTGTTATGTTAGGCTACTTTTACAGAACGAAGCTCTTATTTTCCAAATTTTTCCTATCGATAATTCGAAACGCGAAGTACCTGTTGCAAATACTGCTCCCCATTTATCTCATGCAGTTCGTATACTTCCAGGCTTTTCTGCAAATTCAACTTCAAACAGTAAAGACCACAAAATTGAGATGGACTATGTTCTCCTCTATTTTTCTGCAATATTCTAACATTCAGAATTTTTTTTCCTTTGATATATTGTTCAAACAGTTGTTGTTGACGGTGGTAGATTCTCGTTCCAAAGAACTCTTCAAGAGGTAAACAACTGATTAGTGGGCCCTTATAAGATTTTCCCTGAACCCAAAAATATACAATAACTAACAAAGACTTCTAGGTTGTGGCAAAGAAAAAAAAAACAAATTGAGGAGAATATTTGCATTTTAAGCATAATTGAATGAATGATCTTTTACTACGGTAGAAAATTCTCCATCCAAAAAAATTCCGAGGAGGAAGAGATACCTTGTTCAAATTTCACAACCCCCATTGTTGTATTATCAAATCCACCACACTCCTCGTGAGCACTACTCTAGGAGATAAACTTTGTAGTGCAGCTGTCCATATGCAG